CTTAATTAAATTCATTAAATAATATTTAGATAAATAAATTAATTTTCATATATAATGTGTATATAACAAATTACATGTATGTCATTTTGGATGAATTTTAATAAAGTTTTACACAAAAGTATTCTCTTATTCTTTAATATAGGTATCATTCTTATTTATAATGGGTACGAGGCGAGTAGTGCGATATCCATCCTCGTTTTGAGACAAACGGAGATCCTCGTTCCCATAATTTATCTGGTAAGACAACGTGACTTGATGAATGTTTAATGGGTAAGCATTTGCTAAACGACTCCTAAAATAGTTTATGGACGAAGGGGTATTTTGGAGAATTCATGAAAGTTAAGCATATTCTTTTGGAAATTTGTTTTGGGCTGCCAATTGAAATATTGGGTCACTCACTAATCACTATTATCAGTTAGCCCAAAACCCATCTTATTGAAACGGGTCAAGTCCGAACCGTATTTACACTTTCATAGCAATACCAATGGAGTTGGAAAAAAAAACCTTTTGCCGCTTGTCTTCTTGAACCCCTGTGGCTAAACCCTAACCATCTTCGTCATCAACGGCTTCACCCCCATCACCTCAACTGAAACCCTAATCAATACAATAATCTGCCATTGTACAAACATCATACCCCTAAAACAGCAATGAATGGAACCTCTCTCTCTTAGTTTGCTCGGACGATGTTCATCTTTCTTCGCAGCCTTGTCATTATGGGAAGAAAAACAAGATACCCTAATCATCGTGTAAGCCTTTTACTGTCATCATCAACTAAGTCTCCATATTTGATGAATCCCAATAATATAATTCTCTGCAACTGTTCATCACCGTCATCATCATACACGTTCTTATTTTGTGTCACCGGTTTTCTATGCTTTTTGCGGTATCCGTTTTCGAGTAAGGCTAATTGTGATGAAATCGGACAAGGTCTTGATAGGGAATCCGTTTGTGAAATTGTTAAGAATGAGCGTTGGGATGATTATAGGATCAGCAAATTAATTGGTTCGGCTTTAGCTCCTATTTGGGTTTCGACGATCTTGTTACAATTGAAGGAAGAGCCTATGTTAGCTTTGAAGCTCTTCAAATGGGCTGAAACTAGACCCAAGTTTTGTCATACTAGTGAGAGCTATTGTATTCTTGCTCACATTTTGTTTTTTCACAGGCTTTATAATGATGCTCATGGTATATTGAAAGATTTGCTTAGTTCAAGCCTTATTTTGCCAAGTTGTGATGTATTTGATATAATGTGGTCAACTAGGAATGTTTGTCGATTCGGGTGGGGGGTGTTTGACACATTGTTCAATGTATTGGTGGAGTTAGAGAGATTTGAGGAAGCTAATGATTGCTTTTTAAGGATGAAAAATTTTAGAGTTCTCCCAAAAGCAAGATCTTGTAATTCACTTCTGGGTAGATCGACTAAGATGGGTAAAGGAGATTTCTCAAAGAAGTTTTTCAAGGAAATGGTTGGGGCTGGTATTAAGCCTTCTGTATTTACGTATAATATTATGATTGATTATTTGTCTAAAGAAGGAGATGTGAAAGGTGCACGGAGCCTTTTCTCTGAGATGAAAGTGTTGGGTGTTAATCCAGACATTGTTACATACAATTCACTTATCGATGGGCATGGTAAGCTTGGGCAGTTAGCCGAATCGATCTGTATATATGATGATATGAAGAGCGTTGGCTGCCATCCTGATGTGATCACATACAATGCATTGATAAACTGTTTCTGTAAGTTTGGGAAAATGCCGCAGGCATTTGAGTTTCTTCATTATATGAAGAAAAATGGGTTGAAACCGAATGTTGTAACTTACAGCACGTTTATAGATGCCTTCTGTAAGGAAGGAATGATGCAAGAGGCAATCAAGTTTTTCATGGATATGAGGCGAGTTGGTCTTTTTCCCAATGAGTTCACATATACTTCTTTAATTGATGCAAATTGTAAAGCGGGTAGAATTGGGGAGGCTGTGAAGCTGATCAAGGAGATGTCTGAGGCAGGTATTACGGTCAATACAGTTACCTGTACAGCGTTACTTGATGGTCTTAGCAAAGAAGGTAAAATGAAGGAAGCGGAGGAATTTCTTAGAGAAATGCTTAAAATGGGTATATCACCTAATGTGAAAAGCTATACAACCCTTCTTCATGGATATATAAAATCTAAAAGCATAACTGGGGCCATGAATGTTTGGGAACAAATGGAAGCCAAAAACTATAAACCAGACTTGTTGCTATATGGTACTCTCATCCTAAGACTCTGCAATGACAAAAAGCTTGAAGATGCTAAGGTTGTCTTTGAGGAAATGAAGAAAAATGGTACGGATGCAAATTTTGTGATTTACACAACGATTATGGATGCATATTTTAAATCTGGACAACCAACAGAAGCTCTCAATCTGCTACAAGAAATGAATGACATGGGTATGAGCCCATCGGTTGTGACATACAGTGTGCTAATCGATGGTTTGTGCAAACTTGGATACATCCAAGAGGCACTGGACCATTTTCGTAAGATGCCAGGTGTTGGATTGGAACCTAACATCATTGTTTATACAGCCCTTATTGACGGGCTTTGTAAAAATGATTGCTTAGAATTGGCTGTGAAACTTTTCGACGAAATGCTGGGGAAGGGTGTGATTCCAGACATAGCTGCTTACACATGTTTGATTGATGGAAACTTAAAAAATGTTAATGTTAATGAAGCTCTGGATTTATGGAACAAAATGGTAAAAACTAGTATAAAGCCTGATTCTCGTGCGTATATTTCTCTGATTTGTGGGCTCTGTAGATGTGGTCGAATGCTAGAAGCAAGAACCTTTTTTAACGAGATGATCACAAATGGTCTTCATCCAGATGATATTATTTATGGCTGTCTTGTGAAGAAGTATTATGAGCTTGGTTATACAAGAGAAGCCGAGGAATTGCAAAATGAGATGGTTGGAAGACAGCTTATGAATGGTGTTAGTGATTAGGATGATGTGCAAGCTTGAAAAGTTTTATAGCATGCCTGTCTTCATCCAATCGTGTCAAAGATCCAAGATCGTGGATTGATGCAAAAAAGTGAGAAATCCTTTATTTGCTTGCAGCTTGGTGCATGTGGGTATCATGATTTTTGGACCCCGAACTAATTGCGTGCCTATGGGAACCTGCTATTAGTTATAACATAAATTTGGATCATTTTTTATCCGACCCTCAAGCGAGGTAAGGTATACTTCTCATCATTTTTATCTTTACATGAAAGGAATCAGAAGTAATAGGTTTTTGGATTTTGCTTAGTACTTACTGATAGAGTTCTATATCTATCTCTTTATTCACAGGTATGGGATTTATCTGGTCATTGCATATGTATACACTCAAAGAGGCATTTTGAATCTCATTGATTATCAAGTAAGTTTGATGCAAGCTATGAATACTTTTTGCCTACTTTGTTGATTTTTCTTTGGAACTTTTTACTTTGATTTCTTGCTATATCAATAGTCGGTACGTATTGGGCTGTTTGGTTGGTTTTTCTAATTAAGTCATGTATGGATAAAGCTGTCTGTGTGGATTAATGTCTCTATGGAGTGAGAAAGTTTTTGTTTGGGAGGGTTTTTCATAGATGGAATGAATGTGTTTTTTCATTGAGAGGGGCAAGTTTGGAAAAAACTTGGCTTTCTGCATAAAGCTCCTCCCTAGAAGCTTACTACATAAGCCACTTTCTATATCATTAAGCCACTACCAAACAGTGATGTGTATAGCCGACTGAACAAGTTGTAACATTTATTAAGCTAATTAAGCTGCTAACAAACAGGCCCGTCGACTGCTTTACTAGAAGCCATGTCTGTTTGTCAAACAGGCACAGATATGTTTATGTACATGTATACAAATAAGTGAATAGGGGCTGGGTGGGTGAACACGGTCAGGGGGTGTGGTAGGGTTTTTGGGGAAGATGAAGATATGAGGGAAACAAAATTGAAAATGACCCTGTTAGAAGTGTGGTTGAGGAAGAACATATAATAAGTAATAACTAACCCTTATCCTTAGAGGGAAGTGTGCTTCATGGTTTAATTGTATTTTTTCTGTAACCATGTTTGGAATAGATGATTGGAGAATGATTTGGAGTTAAAGTATGTAAATTATTTCACTGGAGACTATAAAGATTGAGATTGCAATAGTGCACATAAGTTGTGTTCTCTAGAGGATCTTAAAGCATGGTGATTTGAAGTCATTGGGAGAACAAATAAATAGAATTATCAAGTGTTTGCTCATTTTGTTCTATATGGGTTGATTTTGCCACCTCATTTTGTTCTCCGTTTTAGATGCGCTTGTCTGCGGTACAACTAATTGTGCTCGTGAAATGGGCGTTGATATTTTTTGGGTAATGACTATGAAAGTTGTTGCATCTCTTGGAAGTATATTGACCCGAAGAATTAAATGTTTGCATCCTTCTAATCGAAGTTCTTTCTTTTGTATGCACACCTGATCAGGATCCCATCATCTTTCAGCATAACCCAGTTATGGTATACCAAACCAAACAATCCCAGTATATGCCACCCCGAGGTGGGTCAAGGAGGGGTGTGACGTGTGAGATAGAGTAGAGTGGCTGTCTTCTCCTGGTATGTAGTCTTGTTGCTAGTAAAGTTAAAAATAATATACCTATTTGCACATTGTATTGTTACAAGCTAATGGTTCTTGAGTTCATTGTATAGGATCGGAAGTCTTGGTGGAGGGAAGTCGAAATTGAATGGTGGCAGCCATTGGGAAAGTTCTGTGATAAAAAAGAGTTGTTACTACGGGGAAGAACAGGGAGAGGCAGATGTCTCGTTGCCGTTACCATGGTTCCTCGGTTAGGTCTCCACAGCCATCGTTCCCACTCACTTCAGTTAGTTAAACAGGGGCTAAGCAACTAACCATGGAAATGTGTTTCAATTGTTTTTTATGGAACCTTTCCAATCATTCATTTGATATCAAGACAATATAGTATCAAACGTTTCATTTCTCATGTTTTTGTTGTGTAGAAACAACTATATTTATGCATTTAAACAAATTGTTTATAATCATTATTTACACGATTAAATACAAATATAAGCGGTGTTTGTTTCGTTTTAAGGAATGAGGATGAAAATGCAAGAGAATGTAGATTGCCAAATTGGTATTCCTATTGCATTCGGCAAAAGTAGAGAATAATCATTTATTCAAGTATCCTATATACCCTCATCAAAACAAGTATTGTATTAGACTAATTCAAAGGTTACATGAAATGACTAAAAGGTTTTTGGTCTGGCGGTATATAAGTCATTGACTTCTTAGGAGAGGTGACGAGGGTGTGTGAGTTTATTTGTTGTATATGGATATTATATACTTCAAAAAAGGTTACATGGAAGAATTTATTTGCATTGATGATGGTTTTGCAAGTAACATTAGAAAGCTCGATATTCTAAAACTTGTCAAGATTTTGCGATGGCAATAGCTTTGCAATGGCTTCATTTTGTACTGATTAATTCGACGAGCCAATCATAATGGCCTACACCAGTTGTTGTTGGAGACGTAAAAAACTGAGTTTGTCTTGTCAATGTGTCCGTCGCTATATTTTTTTCTCTTTTAATATACTGGACCTTAAACGATGGTCTAGACTATGACAGACACAAAATAATGGTTCCAAATTCGATACCATCCTCATCTCTCCTCTTCTTTTCATAACAACCACCATTTGGGAGTCCGACTCAAAAATCATCAGCTCTTAACCCATGTTATAGCTTCCGCCAAAACCAATGCTCGATAGATACTCCTTCACCTCAAATTTCCTTCTAGAAGTATGGGGTAAAAAGTCACTTACGGACCAGAGTTGATGGATGTGTATTATGATCTAACAGATTCTACAAGGACAAATACGTAAATTCAACTTGTACTAGTACTGCTTAAGAAGTAAGAACATTCGACCTTGCCGGTTTGGGAGGTGGTACGGATATCAGTCACAGGCTCGGGAATTGCTTTATGCTTCCCGGAAGCTCACCCTCAACCTCAGGTTTGGACTTTCTTCTAAATCTATGTATATATATATAGCCGTTGAATTCTTTCTTTTCCAACTCAACTGCTCAGATAAATTCATTTTCCATTCACTCTCTAACGCAATATTCAATGCCTTCTCATATTTATCTTCCCACCATTTCAGTCAAATGTATGATCTGGATGCAAAACGGAAGACGGAGAAGAATTAGAGCACAGAGTCGTGTGTTTTATTTTGTGGGTCTAGGGTTTTGTTTGTGGGTTTTTCGATTTTGGGATTTTTGTTAGTGTAATTGGACATGAATAGATAGATGGGGAGTGGGATTCCGTTTCAACAGTACAATTTGAGATCAGCTGATGCAAGACAGAAGGCGAGAAAGTATTGAAGGGCAGAAATGTGTTTTGATTTTGTGGGTCTAGGGTTTTGTTTGTGGGTTTTTGATTGTTGGGATTTTTGCTAGTGAAATTGTACATGAATAGACAGATGGGAGCTAGGGTTCCGGTTCAACAGTACAATTTGAGATCTGCTGATCCGTACATAGATGGGACTTCTTTGCATGATCTCAATACTGTGGATGGACGTGCCGGCGAGATTATTGAACCTATGGTTGACCGCGACGCTGTTACAGATGAGAGCTTAGACAATGAAGACGATTCTGGTGCTGTTGTGAGTCTTTTATTGTTTACCTATTTTGTTGGTTTTGTTATCATGATCTTGCTTGTCTGCTACTTTATGTATATGGGTTTTTATCTGAAAACAATTAGTTAGCAAAATGTTTAACCCCTGGGGCCCGTTTGTTAGCAGCTTAAGGAGTTAATGGAAGTCACAACTTATTTGGTCAGTTATACATGATTGTTTGGTAGTGACTTAATGATATAGAAAATAACTTATTCTGTAAGCTTTTAGGAGAGAGTTTTATGCAGAAAGCCAAGTTTTTTTTCTTCTAAACCTGTCCCTCCCGATTAAAAAACACGCTTCTACCATCTATGAAAAAACCCTTTGAAACAAAAACCTGCTGAATCTATGTGCAGGCATATTAATCCACACAAACAACATCCATACATGACTTAAGAGCTATCAGGTCCATCTGAGCAAAAGGTTAGTTGTGATGGTCTTTTTGCAAATATGTACTTAAAGAAGCTCCTAAGTCCATGTCCCATGAAAAGTGATTATTGCAATCTTTGTGTGACATCGGCAGTATATGGGCTTCAAATGTACAAAAAGGAACAGAAATAGGAGAAAGTGATAAGCTTTTGGAGGAGATTTGGTGGTAATTGTTGCCACACTGTGATCAATCATATGACAAACAATTTGTATTTACTATTTACCTAAACCGAGTACTTTATGGCATTGCATTCACGGGCATCACCTAATATTAGTACTTTGTTATGATTTTTTAGTAGCAGTTTTAGGTTTAAATTTCGTTTTAATTTGTAACTTTTTATGCTATGATCTTGTTGCAAAATATCATATAAGGTACTACGTACCTGCAAGCTATGCGGATATGCGATGATGTTCTAAAAAGTGATGGTATTTGGCACTTGGTTGAATCCTTTTTCCTTCTAAATTCTTGTTCAGTTATCAATTTCAGATATAGGATTAATTATGAATTCATTTTGGGTGAATTAAACTGTGAATGTGGACCATTGGGACTTCACATGTCAGATAAAATAATGTTGTTTTCATCTTAGTTTCAGCTGCTTTATGGCATCCGGAGAATGTTGTTTCCCCTTATAAACAATTTTTCTACATAATGCAGGAATGCATGCACGAAAGCTACCAAAATACTTTACCACTTCATAATGTAGGGGTGGAGGGAGGTCATTCAAGCCTCGATACTAATGGATCTTCAAGGGACACATATAATATTTTATCAGCCGATGGTAAAGTTAAATTTCTCATCATTTGTTTGCCTTATGAATTATAAGAGATCATTTCACGAGTGTTTTTCCTACTGAACTAAAATTGACTGCATTTTGTTTACTAGATGTTTCACCGATAGAAACAGCAAGAGCAAGATTCCTGGATTTCATCGTGGATAGTTTCATTGGCTCACATGTACTTGAAGTATCAGATTCTGAGACCGATGGTATATCTCAATCTGTGGAAGAAAAGCTGAGCAAGAGGAAGACAAGAGACATCCAATACGAAGGTGATCCACGCTTTGTATTGCCATTGATGTATGTGGCAAATATGTATGAAACCTTGGTTAATGAAGTAAACATGAGACTTTCTTCGTTGGATAACATGCGTGAAAAGACCATTGGAGTGGCACTTGAAGCTGCTGGTGGTTTATATAGGAAGCTTGCAAAAAAATTCCCAAGGAAAGGTATTCAACAATGCAAAATTTACATATTTAACTGATAATACTTCTTGTATGCAATTAACGACAGCAATTTAGCAGGAGCTTGCATATTCAAAAGACGGGAACTAGCAACGTCTTTTGAGACAAGGTCAAGATTTCCTGAACTAGTGATACAAGAGGAGAAGCGGGTTCGTTTTGTTGTAGTCAATGGTTTGGAAATTATGGATAAGCCAACTATTACACATATAGATGATGCAGAGTGGTAAGTTCAAGTGCCCCCAATGCTTTCTTATCAAGTTTATTTTGGTTGGGGGGGGGGGTATGTAATAACTTGGTTTAGTTTAGTCATATCAGTTTAGGAAAATAATCAAACTTTATTATTGTAGTTGAGTTATAGATGATTCAATCAAAATGTAGGTTCAAGAGGTTGACTGGTCGAAATGATGTAGTTGTCTCTGCTCGTGACTACAAGTTTTATGCTCCAAGACATAAATATAGGCGTTCTGCATCAAACTCTGTTTCAAGCATTCCTGGTTTTCCAGTAAGTTTGAAACTTACTTCTTGTTTAGCCATACTATTATAGAAGTTAATCTTGATTTTTGCATTGGTTTAGACTTTTCCTGGTGCTGATAATTCTTCTCCAATGTCTGTTGCTCAAGGCTATCGATCTCTTACAGAAGTAAGATCTTTTCTATTAATAGCGTATATATATATATATACATACATACATACATACATAGGGGGTCATTCAAGGGAGGAGTCAATATTTTGTGAGATCCGTGAGGTCCAATCTCAACCACAAATCAAAGTTTAAATTAGGAAATTAATAATTTTGGTACTTTTGACTTAAAATTTTAAATAATGACATTTTAGGTATTTTAGAGATCTTATCTCCCCTCTCCCCTCCGTCGTGAACATTTCACTACAATACCCATCGTATATACATTAATTAGGATCATTCTCTCTATATACCCACTGATACCTACTAATGTCCACTGTGATACCCACTCTATACACGTTGTGATACTCTAAGATACACAAATACACAATGTACTATAAGGTAAACGATGAAAGCAAAGAATGTGATGCAAAGAAAACACCGAAAATACACTTTGTGTTATTGGCATCAAAGATTCAAAGATAATACACTATGGATAGTTATGGATTTTCTATTTATGGAGAGGATAAATTAATCGCATTTATGAGTTGTCTTTTTTATTACTAAATTACCCTTTTCTATTTATTTAATGGGTGACTCACATTGGTTCTCACGATTATCTCAAATTACTGAGTTCTCAATTGATTAGGCCCGTATATATGTGTGTGTGTGTGTATATATAACATATATATATGTATGTTTTTGAGGTTTTCCCCTGAACCTTTCTCTCTCTCTCTCTCTCTCTCTCTCTATATATATATATATATATATATATAGGTCAGGAGAGAACCCCTAAAAAATGAAAAACTAAGGAACACGCTAATGACCGTTTATTTGTACGGTATGCACATGTGCATACAAGTAATTTGCAACTAATTTTTCCATTTTTCCGGTTTTCTCCTGAACCCTATATATATATATATATAGAGAGAGAGAGAGAGAGTTGGATTTCTTTGAGACGGGAAGTTATGGTGAGAAGGGTAAGAAGGGATCTCCACCTTTGGATCGATACTAATTGAACATCAATAGTAATGAGATGCACTAGATCAATTCCCGTAACACGTGCGATTCATGGGGTGGTGGTGAGATTAAAAGTGATCGAGGGTCTAGATCCCTTCTTATGCTTCTCATCTTAACTCCTATTCTCACACGATCCTTCGTGTGTGTGTGTGTGTGTGTATATATATATATATATGAAAAGTACTATTGTTATACCCATAGTAGTGGGTGGGTAGTATGGTTGTGTAACTGGCACATGATATAATTATTCAGTCACAAAATGAGCAGCAGACAGCAGCATCAAAACAGCATATGCAGGGTGAATTTCATATCTTGAACCAGAACCATGAGTCAATGAGTAGTCAATATTCTCAACACAATCATCAATGTGAAATTGGGCACACGCAGCAGTCATCGACCATGTCTCAACAGATGGCTTGTTTACAACCACTGAGTCACCTTGGAGGCCGCTTGCATGTACTGGTAATGTTTTGATTGCTCTTCCTAATTCCTTTCATTCGGTTCTGATCCTTTTTTATTCGAATGCGGAATTCTGATTCGAGTTGGTTAAATGTTCGTATTATCATAGCCAACAAGTCCTGCAAAGTTCTGTGATGAATGTGGTTCTCAATATTTGCGAGAGACTTCCAAGTTCTGTTCGGAATGCGGTGTGAAGAGGCTGGGAACATGATTCTGGTTTGCCTGCCTCTTAAGAGGTATATATATATATATGTATGTATACACACATATTTACACTGTGATGGTGAAATAACTGTGTGTGTTTTTGTTATGCAGGGCAATGTATATGATATAGTAGAGTTTATTATAGTTGCAACAGATGTGAGGGGTGGCTTTAATTTATTTATTCTAATTAATGGGATTGTGGAAGAAAAACAAGTCCTGATATGTTATCCATCTCAAAAAGCATTTGGTAACAAAAAGTAGCAGTCACTGTATAAATTGAATTACTCCTTTGTTTTGTAAAAATTGCAAATCTTAGTTGAAAAAGCATTGCCAAATGTTTGTTGAATGTGTGTAGTTTCATTTGGTTTAGGTTTGGAAATAAAAATATATTTTTTATTAACATAGATATCCAACCCGCTTATGCCAGCCGATTAATCCCAAGGTGACCATCTGTTTTGCAGATAGTCCGGGGTTACAACATTTGAACCTTCGTGGTTACAAGGGGATTTTTATTCTCCTTTGATTTGAACCTGAGACTTCCAAGTACTTTTGACCTTTGGAGCCAAAATCAAACCAATCAGGCATCACCTTTGTGGTTGAAATAAAAATATTAACCATAATATTGTTTAATACCTCCAATCAATTACTCGTTAAAAAATGATTTCTCAAGGAACAATTCCAATTTGTTTTCTTTATCATATTTTTCTATAATTCCAATTTGTTTTCTTTATCATATTTTTTTATTATAGAAAATATATATGACATCCGTCACTTTTGGAGTATCAGGTTAGCATCTTTAAAAAGGTTTTTATAATTAGGATTTTAAATTTATTAGGGATTAGCCATGTTGATGAAAAAATCAATCAACTTAACTCCCAAATTATAGTTCAGAAAACTCTGCCTCAACGGGTAACTGATAAAAGTAACCTATGTAATGTTAAATATATTAAAATTTCTCTTAAAATAAATAATATCGATATTATAAAATTCAAATATAAAAATATAAAGTTTCATCTGTATGTACAGATAATTTTTACAAAATTTGAAATTTTGATTTAATAATGAATAATTTTATCGGTATTTGATAAAACATATTTAAATTTATATTTAATTGGGCTAAGTTTGTATAAGAAAATAAAAATAAAATATGGTGGTTGGACCTTGTATGGGCCAGCTCCTCTACCTTCATATAAAACCCCACATCTTTTGAAAATCTTTCATTTCACCTTCACTTTTCCCTTTTTCCCTCTCTCTCTAAACCTTTCATATTCATCTAGCCGAATCCAAATTCCAAAAAATTTTCTTGATTTTCTAAATCTTGAAGAACAAGTCTTCAAGAAAAATCAAGCTGAAAGGTAATACGATTGATTTTATTTTCGAATCTTTTACAGCAATGACCCTTATATATTTATACTTCTTGCTCCTTGTTGAGTTCAAAATTTTCTAGAGAGTCTAGGATAGAAGATTATTTCATCAAGACATGAAAATATTCCCAAAATGATGATAATCTATGATCTATGAACTTATGAATCAAGAAAATGAGATAAAAACTACATTGCATGTAGTATTTAATCAATAAAAATGGCATTTTGAAACTGACATGTTGATTCTAACATTCCTATCGGCTATATTCTTTATTATCAACCCAAAATATTTGATTTCTGTTGAAGTTTGTTTGATTAGCTGTTGTTTTACTATTTTGTGTCTCACTCAAGGATATCGAGTTTTGGGGCATTTAAATGTTTAAATATAAAATTTTTAGGAGCAAAAAATAATGCTGTAGACAAAAAGAAATCTAACAACAGCGACTGTTGTAGTTTTTAAAAGTTAAAAGTAAAATGATTTTTGAAAAGTCAAGGAACATAATCTGTATATCTGTCAAAATAGCAACTTTTTGTGCAAAAACCTTTTATTTAATTAAATATTGGGTTATTTTTGGTATCAAATTTAACCCATAAAGGTTCATTGGCATTACATAAGATATAATCTTACTTTATCTATATCGTGACCCGATGGGTGATATAACTATTGGAATTTCGAGTGTTTAGGACATTAGTACGGACGTTGGTGCTCTAAGCTTCACAAAACCTTGGATATTCTTCTTCAAACTTGTGAGTTCTTCACGGCCCCACTTTTACTGCTTTTAGTTACTTTAAAATTGGGGGGGGGGGGAAGCATGAAAGAATGCAAACTTTACTGTTTAAATGTAAAACTTATGGACTAAAGAACTGTTTAGTCGAATATTGTGAAAATCATGAAAAATTGATTATTATTGCACTACCTATAAATGATAAATTGATGTGCTTGAGAGGATATTCCAAAAGGTCCCCGTCCGTACACGCTACTAGTTAACTCGGGCACGTCCCCGGGCCGTGGTAATTGTGGATAGCCGCAATTGTGTTGACAGTCCCACCCAGAAAAGGGTGCACATTACCTAAGTTTTTCATAAGTCTACTCGTGTGTGCGAAAGGGCCACCGCTGAAGTAGTACTGATACGAACCGTGGTACCTAAGTGAGTGAACGAGCCACTAATGGTAGTTCGTAAATTAATGGGGCACATTGGTCAGGTAAGGCTCTGTAGCGTCTCAAGTTTTTAAGCATCGATGGAAAATTTTACATTTATAATGTGCATGTTATGTATAAGTTTGCAAGTTGTGATTTATGCATTGTAAATATTTTGTGCATATGAAAACCCGTGAACTCACCAACTCTTCGTAGTTGACGTCGTTTTGTGTTTCATGCTTTTCAGGAAATTAAGTAAGAATGGAGGTTTTGAAAGATCTCATGCGTTAACACCTGTTCACAAGTTTTAGGAAACCTCTTTTTGTACTTAATGTTGTTTCTATCGTGAACCGTAGAAAAATTTAATTTGTAAATTTCCATGGATTATGTAATCTATTGGTGTTATCTATCGATTGGAGCTATGAAATACTTACCTGTTGCGTCTCATGTTTCCGTTTTAGCGGGGTGTGACAATATAACGATGTTAAACGAATTACTAAAGGACAAAATACACGAAATATTAATCTATTTTTACAAAATTTCTTATTATAACATTGTATATTTAGTTTTTCTTATTATAACAATGTACTTTCAAAATATTTTTTATTAGGGCATCATATTTTTAAAAATTTAAACGTTATAACATTGGTCAACCTTGTAAATTAAATTTACCCGTTATACCAGATTTCTTTACCACCTCATTGTCTATATAGGCTCTCCATATATATGATAGTTTAAAAACATAAGGAATATCATGGGTTAGATATAGTGGCATGTATACATAACGTCTTTTTTGATTATTTTACATGTATAAGCAATATTTACGGAATATTAAAAAATAACGTATCATTTTATTACGTTTTGGTACCGTCATAAGTTAATCAAAACATTTTTATTAAAACTCCAGTTTAAAACCATAAAAGTTAATAATCACATTTAACATAAGTTGTTTTTAAACAAGCAATCCCAAAAACACCCCTAAGTATCACTTTTAACGATTTGAAGCGATTAACGATCCGTTGACGTTGACGCTGACTTCATACTGCCTTTCCTCTTCTTTCTGCACTATAATCTTGAATCATCATCTACAAGAGTTCCATTGCTATCAGAATTTGTCGCCCGACTGCTTTTCTTGCTGATCATGGTATATTACTTCACTTTAACTCATCAGAATCAATTATCCAACACCTTTTTTGTTCAATAACTTGTATCTAGACCTAAAATCGAGTTTGCTATCATCCTCCATGGATTTGTTTGCTTTTGGATTCTGCTATCTTCCTTCATTCTACTGTCTGTGATTTCAATTTTCAGAGATGATGCACCATTGAATGTTGAATGAAAAGCATGATCTTCATCTTCGTTTAGAGATAAGAGAAGGAGAGCTTGCATTCATACGTCTAAACATGATTGACACTGATGTCGACTGTCTAATAGAGACCTTGAAGCACCTCATCAACTTCAATCATCCATCACAAATTTGCAAAACCCCATGGATTGATCAACTTCAGTTGCTACACAAGGGGTTAACGTCATTAAGAACCTTCCTCACTCGTTCAGAGGACACTCGATATACTGTTGAGAAAGTGAAAGCTTTGGTGTTAAGGATCATAGATGTAGCAATTGAGGTAGAACATATGGTTGATTCTTTCGTTGCTAGTTTTGACAATGATTGCTTTTTAGAGCTTGACAATGTCGTGCGACAGATGGAAACCATCAAAAGAGATGTATCAGGATTCGACGATCATAAGATTCAGGATCTGCAACATGAAAGAAGTTCATCAAGAGTGAATCCCGCAATACCTAAAGAAGATAATATTATTGGGTTCGATGTAGAGGCAAGAGAAATACTGGATAGACTTGTTGGAAACCGGAAGCAACTAGATGTGATCTCCATTGTTGGGATGGGAGGCCTTGGGAAGACTACTCTGGCCAAGAGAGCTTATAATGATCCTTATGTAGCATACCACTTCTACGATCATGTGTGGATCACGGTTTCTCAGACATATCAGAAGAACGATTTGTTGCTTCGTATTTGCTCTTCACTTTCGCTCACAATCACGAATGAAGCCGCCATGAACACTGGAAAGCTGCGTGAAATGGTTTACAAACGGTTAAAGGGTAAGCGTTATCTTATTGTCATAGATGATATATGGGGTGTAGAGGCCTGGGATGATATAAAGATTTGTTTCTCTAACGACAACAATGGAAGCAGAATTTTAGTAACTAGTCGACTCGTGGAGGTGGCCTTACACATCAAACCAGATAGCTCTCCTCATTTGTTGCGTTTCTTAACCGTGGAGGAAAGTTGGGATCTACTGCAACAGAAAGTGTTTCCAGAAGATGGTTCTTGCCCCAAATCTTTGAAGAAAACCGGGAAGCAGATTGCTGAAAGATGTCGAGGGCTGCCACTGGCAATTCTCGTGATATCTGGGCTTCTTGCGAAAACAGAGAAAACGGTTGAATGGTGGACTCGAGTTTTAGATGGTATAGGCTCGTACCTCGTTGGTGATCCAGAACAAGACATGAACACATTAGCTTTGAGTTACAATCACCTGCCACAACACTTGAAATCATGCTTTCTCTACTTTGGAGCATTCCCGGAAGACTTTGAGATTGATGTTCGGAAGCTGCTATGGTTGTGGGTTGGTGAGGGTTTTATAGAACCTGCTACAGAAAACATAGCAGAAGAGTACTTGATTAATCTTGTTGAGAGAAGTTTAGTGATCGTTGAGCGAAAAAGGTTGGACGGGGGGATAAAAGTGTGTCGTGTTCATGATCTTTTGCACGATTTATGTTTCAATAAAGCCAAAGAAGAGAACTTTCTGCACAAGATTAAGCCATTAGAAGAGCAACTTTCTTCACCTAACACAAGCGGTTTCAGAGCAACTGATCGCCGCCTATTCATCCATTCATACGTGCCTGACTATGTTATCTCCAAACCATCTTCCTCAAATACCCGCTCTTTCTTGTTGACGTCGAATTATATCTCTGGCTTAAGCAACGAAAGTATTTTTTTTCTTTACAGCGCCTTCAAACACCTTCGGGTGTTCGAATTTGGTGGAGTCTTTACTCCATTCTTGCCAAGTGAAATAGGTCAGCTAGTTCACTTGAGATACTTGTCGCTATGGACTGATGGACTTGTTATCCCGAAATCAATATCAACCTTACAGAATCTGCAAACACTTGTTATTCGTGGAAAAACCTTTCCGATTGATTTTCCATTTTGCAAAGATAGTAATATGGCTAATTTGATGCATATGTCGATTTGGCCATCTGTGAGATCAAAACATCCGGTGGCATTGCCGAAAATTCGAACCATTTTGATGCTGCATCTTCCTGTAGGAAGGCAGCCTGTGTTGGAAAGAGCTCCAAATCTTAGAAAGTTAGGATGTTATGTATCACCACAGCGTGGTGGTTTGGTGTTCTTCCCTCCGTTAGACTTCCTGGTCCATCTTGAAAAACTGAAGATTTATATCGACCATGACTACCGCCACGGTTTACCAACTCAGATGAGGTTCAGTTGGCTGAATCGCTTACCCCATAGCCTCAGGAAAGTGACGTTTTTAAACTGCTATCTGCCATGGTCAGATTTATCTCAACTTGGAAGATTACCAAATCTGGAAATTCTGAAAATCTTGTGTGCTGCCTTCCAAGGACCAAGATGGGACACAAACGATGGGGGGTTTCAGAAACTGAAGTGTTTGAAAATCCAGTCTCCTGAGCTTGTAGAATGGAACACGGACAGTGATCACTTTCCCCGACTGGAAAGACTAATTATGAACGACTGTGGACGACTGAAGGAGATCCCAATGTGCTTAGGTGATATTCCTACCATGGGATTCATAGAGCTCTGGCGGCCTAGAAGGTCGGTAGCGGAGTCTGCGTGGCGGATTTATGAGGAGCAGCAAAGTCTTGGTAATGATGGGCTGAAGATCATCATCCATAGTCGTAGGGAATATGAACCAACCTTCTTGTACAAACCTCCTAAGATAATGATCAATTATAGGTACGTGTCGTTACTCATCTTGCATATTCTTACTGTTTTGATTTCGAGTTTTGGTTAATGGTATCGACTGTGTTCAGGCATAGCTCAACGGATGAATCTGGAGATGAAGAGTCATCAGATGGGGAAGCATAGACAGATGTCAAAGAATGGCCAAATACAATCTTCAGTTATACTTTCTTTGTTGCTGTTTCAAGAGAAATGGTCCAGGCACCCAAAAGAAACATGTTAATTTATAAGGAATCAATTTTAATGTTCTATTTTATTATTTGTTTCTTTTGATTTTAATGTTTTATTTTATTATTTGTTTCTTTCGATGTTATAATACGATTTTATATGTTTTTAAGAAAGCGATAATGATTTTTTTGAATAAAATATAAATTTGAAGATATCATAAAATTTAAAAAAAAAAATAATATCAATGTTAATATCAAATCAATTATTTAAAAATTTTCATTTTTTATGTAATTTTTTAATTTTTTTATTATAATTTAATTTAAGTTTAATAACGAAATAATTTATTTTTAGTTTAATAATATAACATTTTATAAATGTAATAATTAAGTATTCTGATAGAACTCGATGAGTATCCTAATTATATTTTAAATCTTTTATATTTAAAATGAGATGTTTATCATGTATTTGATTATGTTTAGCTGCAATTAGTTACACGAATTTAGATATGGAGCTTTAATAAGTTGTACTTACGCACAATCTATTTGCAATCTTGAGTTTTAAGTTATATGAGTTAATAAACAGTATTTTATGCATAAAAAATAGTTTGTAAGAGTTTTTGTCAAATGCTTTATAATATAGCACAGATTATGTGTTTTTAAAGAAACAACAATGATTTTGTTTTTGAATAAAATATAAATTTGAAGATATCATAAAATTTTTTTTAAAAAAAATCAATTTTAATATCAAATCAACTATTTAAAAGTTTTCATTTTTTATGTAATTTCTTTAATTTATTTTTTTAATTATAATTTAATTTAAGTTTAATAATGRAATAATTTATTTTTGATTTAATAGTATAACATTTTATAAAGATAATAACTAAGTATTCTGTAGAACTCAATGATCATCCTAATTATATTTTAAATTTTTTATATTTAAAATGAGATGTTTATCCTGTATTTGATTATGTTTATTTGCAGTTAGTTACACGAATTCAAATATGGAGCTTTAATAAGTTGTACTTACGCAAATTCTACTTGTAATCTTAAGTTTTAAGTAATATGCATTAATAAACAATACTTTACGCATAAAAAATAATTTTTAAATTTTTTTGTTAAATACTTTATAATATAATATATATAAGGATTTTGTAAAAAAAGAGTTAGATTCACAACTCCCACTCTAATTAATTAAAAAAAAAAAAACTTAAAAAGCAAGATTTCACGAATAAGGGGCATTTACGTCAAATATGTCGACAAGACATTTTACATACATGATAATTAAATCCATTTTGACTTTTAAGTTTTATTAAAAGGATACTCATATAATGTAATAAAATATATTTTGATTTTAATATTTTATTTTTTATTTTAGTCGATGTTATAGTATGACCTTATGTGATTTTGAAAAAACGATGATGTTTTTATTTTTGAATAAAATATAAATTTGAGGATATCGTAAAAATTTAACAAAAATATATCGATATTAGTATGAAATTAACTATTTAAAATTCCAATTTTTTATGTAATTTTTAATTTAATTTTTTATTATAATTTAATTTAGGTTCAATAAAGAAGTAATTTATATTTGGTTTAATAATATAATTTTCTTATAAATATAATAATTAATTATTTTGTTAGAATTCTATAATTATCTTAATTATATTTTAGATTTTTTATATTTTAAAATGAGACGTTTATCCATTATTTGATTATGTTTATTCGCAGTTAATTACACGAATTCAAACACGGAGCTTTAATAAGTTGTACTTATGCATAATTTACTTGTAATCTTGAATTTTAAGTAGCATGCATTAATATACAGTATTTCATGCATAAAAAATGGTTTTTAAGAGTTTTTGTAAAATGCTTTATAATATAGTATAGATACCTAAACATATTTTTTTATTAACCTGGATATATAACCCGTTATACGAGACGTCTAATTCTAGGATAACCACCTGCTACGCAAGTAGTCTGGAGTCACAGTATTTGAACATCTGTGACCACATAGAAATTTTTATTTCTTCTTGAATTTGAACCTGAGATCTCCAATTTGATATTTGGAGTCCAAATTCAAACCGATCAGACACCATCTTTTTTGGTTACTTAAATATACTTAATGTAAATCTCTTCCATAAAACGCCTATATAAAAAAGAGCACAGCCATCGATTTCTCTTTTTCTTTTATCAGTTTTGTTATTGTTTTTAATTTTTCTGTACTTAAGGTAATGAGGTGTTTGAGATTGTTTATTTGAAACAACTTATGTTTTTTTTTAAAAACACTTATCAATTTATTATAAGTCAGAAGGTTTAACTTTTTCAAAAACTTCTTATTACCGGTTTGACACCGATATAAGTTATTTATCTAAACACTGAAAAGTATTTATTACCTGTGTCATACCGAAATAAGCCAATAAATTGTTTTTATAAATATTACAAACACCTCCTAAATTGTTATAAAAAAGGTCCTACTTCTTATCCAAGAAAACAAAAAAATGAACATATCCGTCTTCGCCTTTTTATTGTTTGCCGATTCGCAGAGATATCAAAATTCAAGGCAGAGATAGAGATCAAAGAACACCTATAGAGACATGGAGTGTGTATTTGGGATGGTTGGGAAAGGGTTTGCATTGGTGGTAGCAGATACATCGGCGGTTAACAGTATTCTGGTTCATAAATCTAACGAAGACAAGATTATGGTTCTCGATTCTCACAAGCTCATGGGCGCTAGCGGTGAAGCTGGTGATCGGTAAGATGTAATTTCGTATTTCCCTTTTGCGATTTGTTTTTAAGCTTATTACTGGTATGATGTGCTATATGATCTTATGACGTAACTCAAAATACGAATTGAAAGTTATTAAAATACAAAATCTAAATCAATCTTCGGAAAGGGTAACCAAAGGGACCAGAAATTGTATATATATATTTTTTTGATTTTCTTGTGTCTTCGAAATTAGGGCTTTTGATAGGTATGAACTACTCCCTCCAGCCAAAAGAAAGACCCGCTCCTTGAATTTGGACTCCCCATAGTCGCTAGATGCTCTTAAAAAATTGATATTCATGTTAAAGTTTTTGAGGAAAATTTGCTCACTGTATGCCATAGAGTCGATAGCCATTTGCATTTATAAACAACTAGTTTGATATCTTAAGTTTTAAAATTTGTTTTGGAGGATGTGGGTTGTGCATACTTTGGAATAGGAATTGGAGTACAATTTGGTACTCTCAACCGTATTTGTTATATTGTCTTTTTTTCTGTTATTCAGCCAATAATGGAGATTGAAAGGTGGAAATTTTCAATGTTATGCCACACCTGCTTTTGATTCTAGTACATATTTTTCTAGCATGGTTTTCTTAACTGCACTTGGATTAACAGTAAGAGTTATGAAATGAAACAAACAGAACATGAAGTATATCTGTCTCAAGTGTTTCATAACTAAATAGCAACAATTTGAACACCGGATATCTGCTCTATCATTTCCTCAAGCAAAGTGGAATGGACTTGGTATTGTTTCAATGTCTGTTTGTTAAAATTTATCTCATACTCAGATAATGCTCAAAATGGGAGAGACCGATAGAAAAGAAATGTGAGGTTACACTGAACTTGCATTCAGGTCAACTACCCTGAGAAGATGAAGACTTGAAGACTCTCTTGTTAGTCAGATACTTGGCTATTGAAAGGCAAACTTGGTCATTCGCAAGGCTAGATACTACCTTGGTCTTTCGCAAGGCCAGTTCAGTGTTGTAGGGGAAGATAGAGAGAAGGGTGATAGAGTGGGATAGAAGAGCACAATGAAATCACTCTAGATTGAGTGTGATGGGGGATCATAGAGAACTCCAGAATTCTGATCCTAAAAGAATTAGGAAACAGTAGAAAGTTAAATACTTAAACTGTAATTAGGTTCCCAAATACTGCCCTATCTAATACTTGTTTCATGTTGCCGTACTGAGGAAACAATACAAAGTTTTTCTCTCTTGTACTCCCTCTGTCCAAAAAAAGAATGCCAATTAACAAAAGCATTATTTGTCTGATCTCCAAAAAACGGATGGGTAAAATAAGATCAGATACATCCTAATGTAATATTGCGTTATGGAACTCTTTATGGGACAGGAGATTTGTTGACTGGACCTGTTTCTTGGGATGGAATGAGTAAAACATAATGGCCAACTATTAATTTTTAGAATTTTGATTGTAATGGACTTCCCAGTCATTTTGTTGCACATTAGACAAAGATGATTCTCATGCTTATAAAGTTTTCGTGTATATTCCTGGGCACAAGTTTTCGCATCAAGATTGAAGGGAACATAACTTATAATATGCTTGTGGCTCAAGTAAGCGGCTAGAAGAGACAAGCCCAAACTCGAGCTGTATTGAGAGGATTTGCTTGCTGCTTATGTTCTTTTATTTACATTTTTTCCCTTGGGATTAGTTGCACGAGTTTCGAGCATGGCATTGTTTTGGTATTTTACTAGGACAAAGAGCAGTGGGTTTCATTAAGTTTGGTAGATTCCTTTCTGTTCAATCACTATTGCACTAGAACAAGCTAAACGTGTTTCCCAGCACATCAGTTTCCTCCTTGCTTCTAAGTAATTTATTTTTTTAAGATGGATGATGGAAGTAACATAGTTTAGGTTTTGTTGAAGATCACTTCGTATCTAGAAAACTAATATAGTTCCAAAACTCAAAAATGTTGTGCCAGCTCTAGTGTGGGATAGTGAAAGGGTACAAGTAGAGTGACTACGGTGAAAGATGAATAAAAACATATTCTTGCAATGGATCGGCTATGCGAGTTAAACACACATAAACTAATCACTAAATCAACAAGGGTCCTTAACATTGGAATTTGGAACGGATGTAACCTTTCCCCTTGGAGATTGTAACAGCCGATTACCTCGATATATAGATACTGCATTCTGGAGTTCTAAACCTGATAGAATTAGGAAATGATAAGGTAGGTAGATAGTCAACCTAACAGAAAAGATAATTATCTAATGACAACTAGAAAATTCCTAAAATACTTTCCTATATAATAGCTTCCCATGTTCTACTGAATAGAGATATTAGTTGTCTTTAAATAAAAATACATAAGTTCCAATTAATTGTCCGTTGCTTCCACTTTCTTCCCATTGATCCAGCATTAGACCTTTTGCCTACCTTTAGGCTTTAGTCTCTAATTTAATGTCTATCAGATCCCTAATGCACTGGATATATATATATATATATATATATATATATATATATATATATACATGCACTGCATTTATAAGTTCCAGATAGCAGTAATTTTAAACTAGAGATGTCATAGTTATACACACAGTTGTTTCAATCTCTGTAGTTGTACACATAGATTACAAATAGATGACATTATTTGTTCTCTGATTAGTGGTTATTTAGCGATTCTAGTTTGAATTTTTCTTGCTTAATTCCTCTATATCTTAATGGTTAGAGCTCAATTCACGGAGTATGTACAAAAAAATGTGGCTCTCTATCACTTCCGTAATGGGATTCCTTTGACCACCAAAGCTGCAGCAAATTTCATGCGGGGTGAGCTTGCCACTGCTTTGAGAAAGGTATAAAATCCTTTTATCAATCCAAAAGAAAACCAATTCTTGGATCTCATTGTGTATTCTTCTATTCCTTTATCTTCATATTGACCTTGTGGGCTTAAGAGCATTCTATTGAAACAACCGCTCTACTTTTTGGGGTAAATGTCAGGTTTGCATACATCGCACCCCCAGTCCCCACCTCTAGGTGGGACATACCGGGCTGATTGGAAAAAAGTTGGATTTTCTTTTTTAATGATTTTGGGTTGTGATCTTTTGAGGTAATTTGTACAGAATCCTTACATGGTAAACATCGTGCTAGCTGGTTACGAGAAAGAGACGGGTCCTTCACTATATTTCATAGACTACATTGCAACTCTGCACAAGGTGGAGAAAGCAGCATTTGGGTATGGGTCATACTTCTCCCTGGCGATGATGGATCGCCATTACCATCCAGATATGACGGTGGAAGAAGCCATCGAGTTGGCTGAAAAGTGCATCGAGGAAATACGATCCAGGCTTGTCGTGGCTCCTCAGAATTTTGTGATTAAGATCGTGGACAAAGATGGTGCTCGTGAACACTCGTGGCGCCGCACCACCAAGGATTAGAACTGGAGTTTGGACAACTTGTAGTTGTAATAGGGGGTAGTGATGGACGTAGATCTTTGGACTTTATGGTTCATCAAAACAAAGACAGATGTTCCTCTTGTCTCTAACACGGTTTTAAACATCTTATGAAATTAATGCTTTTTTGGGAAGTCTTAATGTTTAGATTATTATATCAAAATGGAATGCGATTGTTTTGGTTCCTAGGTAGGGATCATTAGAACCGGATACCTGTCTTTGGAACCGGAACCGCTCCGGAACTGTCAGTTCCGAAACCGGAACCGATGTGATTGGTTTCGGTTTCAATTCCAAAAATATGGAACTCATCGGGACTGGTTTCTATTCTCATTGTTTTTGGAACTGTTAACCGCTGGGTACCGTCGGGACTGGATACGGGTACCTAGAACCGGGACGGATGGGTACCCACTATTTTTTTAAATAAAAATTATTTTATATTTTTATTATATTTAATATTATTAATTTACTTTTTAAGGTTATAGTTGTTGTTGCTTCCTTAATAATTGAATTAGATCTCTCTGCCTCTTACTCTCTTACTGTTTCACAATCAACTTACATTCTCCTAAATCCCAATTGCTTGTAATTATTAGTTTTTAATTTTTATCGGATTAGTTTCACCGTTGTAGTATTTATTTTTTACGTTGGTACTTTGTAATAGACTACTATTTACTTTTTTATATTATGAAATGATAAAATTTTAAAAAAAATTAGACACCGGATACCCGTTACTGAAACCGGTTCCAAGTGGTTCTGGGACCGGTTCTCAAATATAACGGTGTGACCTGGTATCCGTCTTTGCTCACCCCTATTCGTAAGGGGTGTCGGTTCCTTCTCTTAAGGACTCCAATATACCTTAATCTACATCATCTCACTTAGGGGTGTTTGTGATGTGGTTTGGTGCAGTTTTGGTTCAAACCGCAAACCGCATCGCATATTCGATTTGAAGATTTTCTTAAACCACACCACATTTGGTGTTGTTTGAACCTAACGCACTTCAATCCAATAATTATAAAATCACATCTTCGAAATAAATTCGACGATGATACTCCTATATTCCTTACAGTAAAAAGCTTCTGATATGTACAAAATGCACAGTTAAAAAGGTGTAATGCAAACTAAATAGTTCGATAATTAATTCAAATGCATTTAAAACTTAGCTTTAAAATAATGTCAACCACAATGTTTGACAAAAGACAAATGAAAATGAAAATAATTCAAATAAGGAATTTGTAACGTAAAAAATTAAAAAAGAATTGATAAATAATCAATAATATATTAACTATTTTGATTTGATAAATGATTATACGTATAAATATATATATTTAAAAATATAAAACATATATGATACTGTTTTAACCACAGTTTGATAACTCAAAACCACAAATCACATTGCAACGTACGTTTTGCCGAAAATGCAAACTGCACTGCAAAAGTTTTAAACCGTATTTTACGATACAGTGTAAACGGTTTGTACAATTTAACGGTTTAGATGAACACTCGTAATCTTACTCATGACACTAGAGTTATCTAAAATATAAATATTAATAATGGACACTATTTTTATTTTTATTATTATTTATTTTTATTAATTATTAGAAAAGACATTGATAAAATTTAAAAATACGTTTATTAACCTTTTGAAATTCGGTTATTTTGATGTAACGATAATGATTCCATAAAACTTAGAAAAATTGCATTCCTTGTTTTTTTTCCTATACGAAACCGTTTTTCCTTCCACCGCCTATCTAACCGTCGCCGATAACCGGATCTCCGGCAATGTATAGGGCCTTGGTAGGCCCGTCTAATTCTTCAGTGGTGGTCATGATGTACACCCTTAAAGACGCTCATAATTGGTGGCATGTACTAAACGACTCCCCTCTTTGGCAAGATCGAATATTTCATCTTCTTGCTGCGCTCTATGGTCTCATGGGGGTTGTCGCTCTGGTGATTTTTATCTCTTCTTATGCTTCCTATCATTTGTTAAGTTTTATGCTGTGGTACGATTTTTTAATTTGTGTTTTTTGTTTCTAGGGTTTCTGTTTCGTTTTAGAAGGATGGTTTTGATTGATAATGGTGGTATCTGATAAGATTATTTGGTTTGTGTTAGTAATTTGATTCTGTTATTTGTTAATTGGGGTGTTTAAGCTGTTAAAATCTTGGATTTCTACATGCTTATACTGTTGTAAGAAAACTAAGCATTCCAATCTGAATGCTTTATGTCAGTTACTCTCATCGGTTTCACATATTGTTACATGGTATCAGAAACGCTCTACAGTCTACGATCTAATTACTGCTAATCTTATCTCCGATAGAGGTTCCTATAAGAACCCACTTTTTGTACTTTTTCTTGCCAAGTCATTTCCAACTCATCAAATTAATAACCTACAGAAACCTCCACAATTTAGTTCTTATAAGAACCTCATTTTGTGGGTCCCATGTATAATATAAGTTATATATATATATATATATATAATAGTTATTATATTGGATATGAAAGTTGAGAAAATATATAAAAAAACTAGCAAATTGTCGCTTCACACCAACTTCAAGTCAAGAATGGAAGGTTCTTGTACAAGAACTCAAAGAGAGTGAGGAGGTTCTTATAAGAAATTTCTATAATGTTGGTTCTTGTAAGTTATATTTTTTGCTTATGATGTGTGATTTTGTGACTGTTGCAGACACAATTGATTCGGATAGAGCTAAGAGTGCCAGAGTATGGTTGGACCACTCAGAAGGTCTTTCATTTTCTCAATTTCTTGGTTAATGCAGGTTTGTATATTTGCTTTCCTAGAATGTATTTTATGAGCCTTCTGTTGTCTGATCTTTACTGATTGTAGACATATTACTATTGCAGTTAGATGTTTAATTTTTGCTTTCCGTCGTGATATACAGCACTTGAAACCTGAGGTTAGAGTGTTCTTAAGTTCACCCGTTATATATGGCCTCATTGGCTTACTCATTCAGCTTATTTTGTTAGATTGTTCAACATATCTTGATTGATGTGCCAAGTCTTGCGTTTTTCACTACGTATGCTCTCTTGGTTTTATTCTGGGCAGAAATTTACTACCAGGTTGAGTTTCTCCTCTTTATTATGTGTTTACTCTTTCTTCTTGGTGCTGAGTGGATAATGTAAGTAGTTGATAGACTTTATGATGTGCTGAACCTTTGACAGGCACGGGCTGTCTCAACTGATGGTCTTCGGCCGACTTTCCTTACAGTCAATGCAATAATCTATGCAATTCAGGTATTTACTTGGCAGCTTAGCTGAATACCTTTTTTTCGCATCTCCAACAATTTCTCCATTATTTTTTTAAAATGAAAAGGCCATATTCAAAGAAATTCTAAAAATAGATTTAACTCCAATAGTTTCTCCAAATATAATTAAAATATTCAATAATATAAAAAAGTCCTCTCTCTTCCTCTATTTAATTTTGGAGGGTTCTCCAAATTTGTAGAAATTTCCCCTCTTTCTCTTTGCTTTCTCCATTTTGGAGGAGCTGTTGGAGCAAAAAACGAGTATAAAAACTCCAAAAAAAAAAATCCCTCTATTTTTGGGGATGCTCTTAAATGGTTAACTTGAAATATTTGCATTCCCCTCACCTCTCTTTCTCATGGTCTACGAAGCATTCTTGTCATGTTTGCTATGAATAACAAAGAGAATTATAGCACCAAATGAAGGAAACTTAACTATACCCATTATAACCTCAACGGTTGAAGGATGCTATGAGACTAAATAAGACTGTTGGATACTTGGGTGCATATCTATTATGTAGGGAGATTATAGGGTCGTCAGCACGAAGATCTCAGTTGTTCTTAGAAGAAATGGACAAATCTTATAGGGTATAAAGTCAGTTTGCAGTAGAAGATCTATCGAGTGCTTTTTAATCTAGCCGTTCTGTTTCAGGAAGCTATGAACCTTGTTCCATCAGCTTATCAAAATCTGGTTTTGTTTATTATACAGACAGTGAAAGTAGTCAAGAAAATGTGGAACAGGGATTAACAATGCTTATATGTATTACTATTGGAAATCTATTTATTTTTCTTGAAAAAATATACAGTGGATAGTTAACCTATTCTACCTATGATTTCTTAACAGATAGGTTTGTGGCTAGTAATCTGGTGGAAGCCTGTCCGTGTTTTGGTGATCCTCTCCAAGATGTTCTTCGCAGGTCCTGCAACCTTTATAATCTGTTTTCGGAATTTTGTGTTCTTGAAAGTTGCCTCACCCGTCTTTTTTGCCAGGGGTGTCTTTATTTGCCGCCTTGGGATTTCTCCTATATGGTGGAAGGTACTTCTTTATAAACTTTGCTTTTTGGAAAGTAATGTTGCGCTACATATTTTCGTTAGTAAACCTTTTTTGCAAGCGGGGTTTTCTTGGAAACAACCTTTCTGTCTTTTGAGACAGTGGTCAGATCTACGTACATTTTACCCCTCCGAGTGAGATAATCCGAGTTTGTTTGGTCAATTACAACCGGGCTGCATAACCAAACAAACTCAATATATCTAGTTGGAGTGCAGCCTTCTAGGACTAATATCTTGCACTTCATGTATATGTGCAGACTCTTCTTAATGTTGCAACGGTTTCCTGTGGAATCAAAAGGGCGGCGAAAGAAATTGCAGGAGGCATATATTTATCAAAAACCCATTTTGTCAAATCCGATTGCTTATATCTATGTGATATTTTGATTTATTTTCTTCATGCAGGTTGGATACGTTACAAGCATCTGTTTCGCATGTTTCCTCATAAGATGTGTCATGGTTAGTCCCCTTGTCATCATTGCAATCGTTATGAATGGATGTTGACCGTATATTTAACACTTTGCAGTGTTCTTATACGAATTTATCTTATTTCATTATTGCTTTTTTTTTATGGTTAGATGTGCCTTAATGCATTCAATAAGGCTGCAAACCTGGATTTGTTGGAACATCCTGTTCTCAACTTCATATACTACTTGGTAAAGTTCCTCATCTTCTTTTGTTCGAGAATCGGGACCTCTAAATCTATCAGAGACTTGATAAGCCGTTGCTTATATTTCTGTTTGAACAGTTGGTGGAGATACTACCATCGGCTCTAGTTCTCTTTATTTTGAGGAAGTTGCCACCTAAACGAGGGATAAACCAATATCACAATATCCGCTGACGAGAAAACCATGATGATACCCAATGCGAAAAAGATTTCTTGAAAATGGAGCATTCGTTGGAGCTGGTTTTTTTTATTGAAAGGGATAGAAAGCAAGAACGGAAAAGATGAGTACATGGTGTCCAAAGATTTTCAAAAGCCTTCTAAAGAAAGGAATCTCTATGGTTAGTGAAATACGCCTATCGTAGTGATATTTATACATTGTTCTTCGACTCAAAATGTTAATGAATGTCCATTTTCCGTTAACTCTTCGTGTAGCAGTTTAATCATATTATAGGGAAAGAAAAGGCGTTCAAATAGCTGGATGATTTTCTACACCTACCTTTAAAACTTCTTTTCTTGCAGCAGTTTTTCTTACTCTTTGCAGAACTTGTCTTAACGGAATCAGCCATTAGAGCACAACTTAAGAGGGTTTGACGCTACTCTCTACAGAACCCCACAACTTCGATGCATTTAAAGTTGCTGAATGCAATAGCCCGAACAAGACCCAACTCAACCAATCGATCCATTGTTTCCCATGTTGTTTTTCGACTGCCCGTATTATTCAATTCATCTATCACCAAATGCCAATGCATCAAGTAAAGATATGAGAGTCCAAGAACTCTTAAGAGAAACTATTGACAGAATTCTCAATCTTAATAATAGAATTTCATGGCGCTTTGATTTCGAGAGATTGTTTTAGTGTTTTTGGCACTTATCTCGGTTTTTTTTATCAATTTCAAGATACTTTAGGTTTTTTGGTTGATTTCAAAGTATTTTTTTTCGGTTGGTGGGACCCAAACGTGAAATTACGGGAGGACCTATGGTAAACTATGTAGAAGGGTATTAAAAATATATTAATAGGGTCTATCCCCCACCTTTTGAATACCGCATCCGCCCCTTGAAAGATTCAAGTGAGGAAAATGAAAGCGATACCGTTGAAACGATAAAAAAAAAACGCTCTGATAAAGTGTTTATTCAATTGTTTGTTTTGAAATAAATGACAATTTTTCTGGTCGAAAATTGTTCTTAAAGAAGAAGGAGAAAAAACGAAAGAAACTTAAGTTTCAGAATTCAAAGAATGATGGCAACTTCTCGTTAGAAACCTCATAATTATCGTTCGAATATTACATCATAATACTTTTTTATAATCTAAACATCTCATTAAATAAATGAGTTTGATACTTCATTCACAAGAATCTTAAGAACTATATAGAGAGAGAGATTCAACGGAAAGTCCTAAAATTGAAAAACTGAGAAACATCGTAGTAACAATTCATCTGGAATGTATGCATATGTACATAAAAGTAATTGAAGTTGTTTCTTAATTTTTATGGAAAACCTAAATAATGAATAACTTGTGAAAGAATATATATATATATATATATATATATATAGAGAGAGAGAGAGAGAGAGAGAGTGAGATTTAAGGAAAACCTAAATAATGAAAAAACCGAGAAACACTCTAATAATTAACCATTTATTTGTATGAAATGTATGTGTGCATACAATGAATCGAAGATGTTCGGTTTTCATACACGTATGCATACCGGACAAATTATTTGTATTCATATGTGCATACTATACAGATAAATGGTTACTAAAGTATTACTCAGTTTTTTATTTTCTACAAACCTGATATATATATATATATATATATATACTATATTATAAAGCATTTGCCTAAAACTCTTAAACCCGTTCATCCCTATCCGATTTCATCCTATAACTGAATTCGTGTAACTAACTGCAGATAAACACAATCAAATACATGATAAACATCTAATTTTAAATATAAAAAATCTAAAATATAATTAGGATAATCATTAAGTTCTAACAAAATACTTAAGTAATATCTTTATAAAATGTTATATTATTA